CGGCGCTGTAAAACCCGGAGTGGATCGGGGCTTTAATTTTTTCCGGGCCTAGCTGGACCTGCTGGACCTTCTCCTGTAAAACCCTCTGTCTGGGAGACGTGTGCGGCGTGCGGACACCGCGCCCCCCCCGCTGGACGGCGGTGGGGGCGCTGTGGGACTGTCCGTACCTGCACAGCCTGGTGTCCGCCGCCGGGGGGCGCTTCGGTGCCGCACATCCACGAATCCGAGGTTCTGCTCCCCCACCTGGCGGACACGCTACACCAAGCTCGGAGGCTGACCTTAAAGAGGCAGCGCGGTGGCCGCTGGGGTTCCGGTCCTGCCGGAAAACCACTTGTTTTCATCGCGACAGGCCGGAAGGTGGAGAAACACGCCCGCAAAATTCGCACCCCTTAGCAGTTTCAGGGTTAAGCTTTTTTTAAAAAAAACTAAATAAACAACAAACGAAAATACGATACAAACAAGAGTGCGTATCACTGTACATTTAAAAAAAAACATCGTCACGGGGCACCTGTCACAATACAAACACGCATCATGAAAAAAAAAGTTTAAACGGGGTAAATGTTAAAGATAAAAGTCCGCCCCGCTTACAGGTTTTTTACATTTCGAAATAGTCTGCCCCACACCTCTATTTTAAAATGTTCAAACGTAGGACTCTTCCCAGACCCTTTCAGTCTGTGTATGTGATGACGTGCCGGTATAGTAATTAAGTTAATTACAAACGGTATTGCTGTGTTATTTCCAGTGGCATTGGATTTTAACACGACATCTATTTCTTTGGAAAGAATATCAGTATTAGTCCCTTTTTTAAGTGTGCAAATCGATCCAGAAGGTTTGTCCCATAGGAAATAAATGTCGAATCGTTTCAGGCCTTCTTTCGAAATCGCTGCACGACAGGGGTGTTTGCGATTTATTATTTTAAATGCAACCTCCTTAACCTTATTAGTTCTACAGTATTCATTAGACGTCATCCATTTTACCCCCTAATAAATCCGTTTCCCAAATGAGGAATTCCGATATCCTGTAACTGAAAGGATATTGTCCACTTGCAGTAGGGATCTTGAACATTTATGACAGCCATAACTCAAAATATCCTGGCGTCGTGGTGGGATACAAGATGCAAATTCTTCAATAGTTTCTAATGGAGAACTCATGCAAATTCTTAAGAAAGACAATACTTCGCTAAGGTCGGCAAAACTTCACACATACCTGTTTGCGCTACCTGCTCTCTCTGAAGAGCCCTGCGTGGATTATAACTCCCCCGTTTTACCCCATAGTATGAACAAGCGTGCCCCCGCCCCGGCTACTCCCGGAAAAAACGTAGCGCCCCCCCCGGAGCGCTATGATGTCACTTGGCTCTGTGATGTCACCTTCACAGTCGGCGTCCATTGTGACGTGGCCCCGCTGCGGCGAGGCGAGGCGGGCACGCAGATGACGGCGTGGTTTTTATTTCATGACTGAAGCTTGGTTTTTTTTTTCATTATACAAAAAAAGAAGATAAGAAGGTTGTCGCAAGTCAACATCAAACGAATGAAACCCATCAACAGTACAGAGGTTGTGTGGTGTCAGGGGTCACATTAAATAATAAGTTTGTACGCTACAAGATTTCTGTAAACCAATTCACCGAG